TTGATGTATGGTAAGGTGTACCAAAAACGGCGGCGCTCCGCGCCGCCGTTTTTGAGATATTCGCGAAAAACCACAGGGGGGGTGTTCAAACACCCCCCCCCCAGCAGGGCGCGGGTTAACTAAAAAGAAAAATATATAAATGGTAGCCCACCCGACCCATGCCTTTATATTACTTTGTAAACACTTACCATTGTTTTTATCGACCAGTTAAAGGGACCCTCCCACCTTAACATTAGATTTGAGCTGAGATAGCCAAAATGGGGTCCCTGGCTCACAATTACCGGTTTCGGCACGCACTCACAACATCGAGAAATGCCTTAAATCGGAAATATTGAATTTCAAAATTGCAGCATTTTGATTCAGAGGGGCTAATGCTTTTGGATACCCCTTGGAATGTGTGACGTCAGCGGAGATCTAATGATTTTTTAATATTTTACTAAAACGTTTGGTAGCATGCGGTGGTATAGGCTGCTTTGCGCGCAACAAATGCCGCACTTTCAAATAAAGTCGCTAGGAACAGCAGCGGATATCCCAAAAAGTAAACAAAAATAAAAGTCTAATCTCTTGAAAACCGGTGAATATTTTTCGATAAAATTTGGTAGATATTCGTTTTCGCCCTTTCTGAACCTAGCGACATCACTTTCATGCCAATTCATTAACTTTTTTGAAGGTGGGAGGGTCTCTTTAACCCGCTTCGAGTCAGTGCTTGGGTCCCTTTGCGGGCCGGGAGGTGGTAAAACAGCCCTGTCTAACTCGGCTCCTGGGCCACGCCCTGATTGAACTATGTTTCATTATCGTTTGGGGGAGGGGGAAAACGGGCCACTTTAGGCCTCTGGGAAGGGGGCACGGCCCTAAATGCCCCCTCCCTGGATCCGCCAGTGTAAGAAGAGACCATTGGAGCTGCAGTTATGTAGGGGAGAGTGGGGTAATTTGGCCGGTGGTGTAAATTGGCCGCCCCCACCTGTACGATGTCTAATAAAAGTGAGTGAAATAAATCTAGTCTGTATTCATTTGTCATGGGTAGAAATAACTGGAGGACAAATGTCAAAACTTTGCCCCTCGTAGTTTTATTCAAATTTAATAAAACGTTAATTTCATTAGAAAATGGTAACTTTTACTTCTGTTTACAAAGTTGTACAACATGTAGCATTTGGGCTAAAAACGAATTCAGACCTTATAGCGCCATTCTTGGGGGTGTTCAGCGGTTCCAAGAGCAATTTTATCTAATTCCGTAAAGCCGTGATGAATTTATCGACAAAAATTTTCAGAATGGCAATATGGGGTAATTTGGCCGGGACTAGCGGGGCAACTTGGCCGGTGCGCTCATGGTCACTATGCTGGGAGGGCCGAGTTTTCATGGTCAATTGTACCATAATTGACATGATTCATGACCAACTTTGACTACTTTGATGCCTTACTTCCGATTGGCTAACTGTAAGAGCATGTGACGTCATCAAAGGTTACCAAACGTTTTTTGCTAATAAATCCTTACATAAAAATGGCACAGCCGCACAAATGGTCTCATTCTGTTCAGCTCGCCAAGGCGCATCGAATGATATGCATGATGACCTTGAAATCACGTGACCTTGAGGTCAAGCGACCTGATGCAACGTGACCTGAGGTCAACCTTTGACCTTGACTTCTCAAGGTCAACACATATATTTTTCGATGCGGACTGAAGAGAGAATTACGATGGTACTCGAAGTTTTGGCCTAGCTTGATTACTTCAAAAGTTATTCGTAAAAAACTGTGATCGCATCTAGAGCCGCTAATTTGGCTATTTTGACCCCTGTGACCCCTGAGCCAACCTCCAAAATGCGGTAAATGCGTCATAGGACACACGTCATTGCTGAATCTGAGGCTGACTCGCAATATAAAAGAAAACCCCGACCGCAAACTAACACCGGCCAAATTGCCCCACACCCCCGGCCAAATAACCCTGCTAGTGGGGCAATTTGGCCGCATTGCAGACCTTTGTAATGCGTCACAATTTCAATATAAGTAATTACTCTGTCATTTCAAGTTCACTGTCCAGTAAAGTAAAATGAATGCGACACCTGCCAGCGTTGAGAAAATGCAGAAATGTGTCGTCAATTTTAAGTTATATCGTTTTCTAAAAAAAGCGGCCAAATTACCCCACTCTCCCCTACCTCAGACATCAGGGTACGCCCTCAGATGTATGTATAGGACTCGCATGGAGACCTCTTATGCTATAGTGTACTGAAAGGACCCAAAGGAGCCTGTCTATATGGGCTCCCGGAGATAGACGTGGGCCCTCAGGAGCCCGCCGGAGCCCCAATGAGGGATAAGTGAGGGATACCAAGTGCCTGCAATTGCATATTGCATAAGCCATAACGCCTTTACAAATCAATATATTATGCATCAGTGGCAGATCCAAGGGGGGCCACATGGGTCATGACCCCCTTGGTGCCCGGGGGCACCACAGGCCTGTCAGGGGCACCACCGGCCTAGTAGGGGCACTGTGAGGGGCTCCACAGGCTTGTCAGGGGCACCCCAGGTCTGTCAGGGACACCAGAGACCTGCCAGGGGCGCCGCCGGCCTCGCAGGGGCACCATGGGCCTGTCAGGGACACCAGAGGCCTAGCAGGGGTACCACAGGCCTTACAGGGGCACCACCGGCCTTGCAGGGGCACCTTGGGCCTGTCAGGGGCACCACAGTCCTGTCAGGGCCCAGGGGCACCAGCGGCCTAGCAGGGGCACCACAGGCCTGCCAGGGGCACCACCGGTCTAGCAGGGGCACCATGGGCCTGTCAGGGGCCCCACCGGCCTCGCAGGGGGCACCACCGGCCTCGCAGGCATCACGGCATCACGCAGGGGCACCTTGGGCCTGTCGGGGGCATCACGGGCCTGTTGGGGGCACTTTAGGCTTGTCAGGGGCACCACAGTCCTGTCAGGTCCCAGGGGCATCAGCAGCCTAGCAGGGGCACCCTAGGCCCGCCAGAGGTATGTACCACAGGCCTGCCAGGGTCCAGGGGCACCACAGGCCTAGCAAGGGCACCACGGGCCTGTCAGGGGCACCTCAGGCTCCCGTGCCCCCCCCCCCCCTCCCCCCCCCAGATCCGCCAGTGATGCCACACCACGCGAAACACCGCCAACTACCAGCTGCCGCGCCATAAACACGTGCCAACAACAGTCTTTTTTTTAAGGTCGACTCCGCTCGCGCAACTTTTGACTGACCCTCACTGCTACTATATTGCTTCCATATTATGCTGTGGAAAGCTTTACTTCACTAAGTGGCTAAAAACCTCCATCAAGGTATATTTTCTTAGCAATTTTTCTGGCGTTTTGGGGGGGGGGCAAACAGGCCACTTTAGGCCTTTGGGGGGGGGGGGGGCATGGCCCCCGTGGCCCCCCCCTGGATCCGCCAGTGACCCCGTTTCGGTTTTACCAAACGTGTGCATGATGCACTTCTGCTGAGATCACGAAATCGCGCGTGCCGCAGCGGCTTGAACCTGTCGGGAGGAAGTAAGTCATATCCTGGTGGTTTGTTTTGCAATATTGGGACGTGTAGCACGTGATATCTGATACATTCGAGCGATTGATTTATCCACAGTTTGTGCCAGTTTCCAGGAAGGAGAAAGCGATTCGATATCTGGCCGATCACTGCTAAGAGGGTGTTTCCATGATTCATTGTTTGTCTGAAGTCTGAACTGTCTGTCTTTGAGGTGTTTGTGTTTTTGTGAAGCTGAGTACACGGCTGCTCATGATCTCACGGTGAGATCAGAGCTGCAGACAGCAGTGTGACACTACTCTCCGTGTATCTGCTCCTCCGCCAACAGTGGTCCGCCGCCCTTGCTGACATGTTCTAGTCCAATCGGAGCTGTTCAGTGGTCAGCCCGATGGGTTAGTAAGACTAGACCACGGCAGTGGATTTCCTCTGAGGCATCGGCCGGGCCGGGCAGGTTTCCAGTGGGTTTTACGGTGACTGGGAGTCTACGACGCGGGGGTGGGGGCGGTGCACCCGCCTGCTCACTCAACTGACCTCTGCGGCCGCTCCCGCCCGGAGGATCCGCTTCCTTTCTGGGAGCTGCCGAGCGGGGAAGGAAACGCCTGTGCCCAGGTGTCCGGTGGGGAGTGGGGTCCCACCCGACCCAGCATTCCACCTGTCCGGCCTCCGTCATGCACCAGACAACGCACACAAGTATAATAAAACTAGACCCAGTTCCCACAGAGAGCCGCCGACGTTATTTGGCCCATATACCGGGGTCCGTGTTACAGAGAAGGCGAGCCAAACAAAGAAGCCGCGCAGACTGTGTTTCGTAACACCTGCTGGCGCTAGAAGTGGATGTTTGATTGGTGACGAACATTCACGCTTCCAGAGAACTCAATCCATAAGCTGTCTGACTGGAATGGACGTGGACTTGTTTGAAGCAAAAAGTTTATGTGGCAGGAATCTGTCGTTAGGTACCTTGTTGATTCTTGTAAATAGACCAGTGTAAACAGCTCTGAACCCTTTTTGCAGCGGCGGGACTGGTTGTTTCGTTAATCCCTTCTGCTGCAGTGAGAGCAGAATTGGTCCGTCGTGACCACTGCCGCTGTGCATGGGTGCAGGGCAGAGCCCTACCGTTGTCCGGCTGGGTATTCCACTTGACTCGAGCACTGATTCGTGTAATGAGTAGGCTTCGGTACCGGGCATTCCGTCCGGTTCAAATCACCTCGTGTAATGGGCTGCCACTGGCCGTTTGTCATTGTCACAGCGCCCGCAGTCACTCGTGCCGGATGGAGTGGGGTTTGAATGAGGTTGGCAGAGGCCAACCTCCCAATAGAATGTCAGTTGAACAGACCTGCACAGTGCACACAATATAATATTACCCTGCACGGCCATTTGAAGTGTTTTTTTTTTCCACCGCGCTGGCTCAACCTGTAAAAATCAAGCTGGCTCGCTTCCCTACCTAACGGTCACGCTTACCGTATCTAACCGTATCTAACTGTGTTTGACCACCCCGTACCCATCTCTGACCTCCCCTCTCCTCTATTCAGACCGGCGGTGCGGACGGCTGCCTCCATCATCCTGCGCGGCCCCAACGACTTCTACTGCGACGAGATGGAGCGATCGGTGCACGACGCGCTGTGCGTGGTACAGCGCGTGCTCGAGTCCAAGTCGCTGGTGGTCGGCGGAGGCGCGGTCGAAACGGCGCTCTCCATCTACCTGGAGAACTTCGCTACCTCCATGGTGAGTGCGGGCGGCGAGGGAGAGGGGTGGGAGGGACTGGAAGGAGCCAGACGGACTTTGCGTGTTCGGAGGAGGCTGCTGCCTGAAAGTTTTTCTCAAATGTTTATTTTTTAGTTAATGTTGGATTTGAGTGGTGATAATTCAGCGCTGTTTTGTATGTAATGTTGCGAACTCCATATCTACTGGCTGGCTTAGGAGATAGCCCTGGATCATCTCTCGCTCATGGTGGTTCTGTGACGGTGTGTCCCCGATCACCAACCAGTGTGCGCGCTGCCTGACATGATGCTGCCATGATGACCCGTCCTGTTTATAGAAGTACTAGTTAGTCATTATTTCCAGGATGCTGATGTTATCGATGGCCCATGAGACTTCACTCAATATACCCTGCATGAGACTGCTGGACCGCTAATAATAGTGTGTGTTTATTATTGTCGCAGCGGTACCGGCCCCGGTGAACAGCAACGCTGGCTTACTATGATGTCAGGTGGACATACCAGAAATTTATTCATGCCTAGGTAATGTGTCGTGACAGTATATGCTGTATCGTGGCCTGACATTGCCGGTGGCATTGATTGCCTCCTATACCCTCTCGCCCTCCCTCCATCTCCCCGTTGTGCTGTGTTTCTGACCCCCTTCCCCATCGACAGAGTTCCCGGGAGCAGCTGGCCATTGCCGAGTTCGCCCATTCGCTGCTCGTCATTCCTAAGACACTGTCCAATAACGCGGCCCAGGACTCCACCGAGCTGGTGGCCAAACTGCGAGGTAAGTAACGCGCGCACGCGTATCAAGGGTGGTGGGGTAGGCCGGTGGTGCCGAGGGGAACAGTCTTCAGGGTACGAGCGCCGGATGATTGTCGTATAAATGACCTCCAGTTGTCTTGACAATTGTTACTTTAGATATTCCTATTTTTTATAGTTACATACTTTCAACGACTAAGTAGTAGCGTCAAATCGAAAGATTCGCTCCTCCCCAGCCACGAGAGCGAACGAACTTCCCATCGCAGACTGTTAACTGGATCTCAGCGACATCTATAGCGTTAGCCGGTAGTACTCGTTGGCTTCTAGCCGGTTGATGGCAGCACCGTCCGGCAAAGCGACTCGCATCCCAGCCAGCGCAATGCAGTAAGGATAAGGCTCCCTAACGCCCACATTGCCAATGCTCCTAAAGGGAACACTCAGAAATTGTTGCGTGTTTGGACCGCCGTGGTGTCAAGTTGAAACGACCATGACCTTCCTGGTGTTCTGGTGGCTGTACCCGCTCGAACAATAAACACTAACCGGGCGGTGGACAGGAAACAAAACAGTGCCCAAAAGGCGCGACCGATGGCCGTATTCGTGGTCAGCCTCAAGTCATTGTGTCAATGGGTGGCATTCAAGGCTCTTCGGAGAGGTATTGGGAGGCTGGTTAATTTGATCTTGGGCTCAGTGTCCCAAAAATATATTTTGGATTGGGTGTCGGAGGGGAATATTCGTCACTACAAAAAGGGCTGAGAGTGGAAAATTGCCAGTAAGGAAGGCACAAAAAGAGCGGAAAACAGAGATCAACAATTTATTTGTAAATGTTGGGGAGGGTGCGGGAGCTGCGTTATAGGATGATTAAATAAAATATAGAGGGAGGTAAAAGGTACACGCAGATGCTCCTGATTGGTAAAACAGGGAGTGAAAAATCGCTCTGGAAAATTGGGGGTGAGAGTGGAAAATTATTTTGATTTGGGTGTCGCTTCCCACCCAAACTGGCGAATTTTGGGACACTGCTTGGGCTCGTCTCACGATTGCTGAGTAAGTGACTCGCCCACAACGGCCGAACGCTCGCGAACAAATTAAATCCCGGGGTGCTGACTGGCCGAGAGGGGTGCGCGTGTCCAACTGCGCCTCGGGCAGTGCGAATTAATCACCTAGACACGCTATGATTGCAGTTTTGTCTTGTGCCCGCCTGTGGGCTCCGAGGAGCCGCTTACGAGGCAGTTCGCACCGAGCGGTAACCGGAGCCGAGGGGGGCAGGGCGCGCCCTGGTCGAGAACACGGCGCTCTGCTCCGGTTACCGGGGAGTGGGCTGCTGACCGGTACTACCCGTTCTCACCACTCGGACGCCGCTGGTGCCCGTGGTGCTGAGGGCGTTTCTGTGCCAGACTGGGGCCGAGCAAAGTGTCGTACTTCCTTTTTATGGAATTAAGTAGGATGCATTGCGACGCCGCTGTTGTCGAATGAGTATTGGTGCTAACAATTATGTTAACGGCGCTTGGTAAGATGAGGTTCGAAGGACTTCTCTGACGCTACATTTGGTAAAATGGTTAATGCGTCTTTTGCCGTCGATGGCGTGGTCTGTGTCATCCCGAATAATTTAGTCAACAACACTGTTCAAAATTTATTCAAATTAGCCCCATTTACCGACTTTTTGAACTGTTAACCTGACCTAGGGTCACCGGGAGTGGAAGGGAATATGTATAGGATGCTCAACAGGGGTAACTCCTGTACCCGATTAGTATTGTCGCCTTCTTATAAGAAGTGCACTGTAATTGTTTGCGAAATGTATAATGGAATCTAGGTTGCGACCGTTAGTGCATTGTGGGACTTTCAATGGACCAGCGGAAAATGTTGGGTTATCAGGGTGGGACTAGATATTCGAAGTAAATCCAAACATGGTCTGGAGCTGCTGCTAATGATTATTTGCGCGTCTTTGAATGGTTTTCTATGAATGTTGACTATCGCCCTTCCTCTCTCGCTGCGTTAACCATCTCGAGCCCGCCGCTTCGGTACGACTCTGCCCACCTGACCTGACCACCTCCCGTCTCTGTGCCGACAGCATACCACAACGCCAGTCAGACTCAGACGGAGCGGGCCGATCTGCGCCACGTTGGTCTTGACCTGGTGGAGGGTATCGTGCGCGACAATCGTCAGCACGGCGTGCTCGAGCCGGCGCTCTCCAAGGTGAAGCAGCTGAAATTCGCCACCGAGGCGGCCATTACCATTCTGCGCATCGACGACTGCATCAAACTGGAGCCGGAGCAGACGGACGAGCGCTCCTATCAGAACGCCATGCGCCGCGGCCAGCTGGGCTAGTCGTGCGCGCTGAGACACCCGACTGAGGAGGTCGGCGGCACGCCACCGCCGCCGGCGAGCTAACTTCCGACTGACCAGTGCCCGCGCGCGCCACCAGTGCCGTGTGAAAACGTCCACTTGTTCTTTGTGTTCGCCCCGCGCAATGTCTTAATAAAGCACTACTCACGCCATATTTGTGTGTTTTGGGCGGTGCCGAGCGTGGAATCAATGAATTTGTGTAGGAATGGTCGGTCACTGAGTGAAATCTGTTCAATCTGTAAAGGATCGTTCCCTGGGACAGTTCTGTCGCTGGGTGATGCTCGAGAGGTGTTCAGGGAAGCAGTGAACGCTCGGTGACGTTGACAGTCTTCCTCACCTTGTCTAAGTCACCTTTTCATTCATGCCGGTAAAAGCAGCTCAGCGAGGCTGACGTTTTGCAGCGCATACATGGCGCCTCTATCGTCTAGGGTCAGTATCCCACGTAATCGACGAAAGTTTCAGCGCATTTGAAAAACACCCGCCGCGCTCACGTGGCCCTTGTAGTTATCACTATCAAGTATCATGCCCACAGGCTTTTCTTCTTCGAGCGCAAGTACGATCACCAATGAGCCTCAAACAACTTTCTCCTCAGTCCCCAAGCTATCAGCTTGACAGCGGATGCTGTTCCACTGACCCACTGGGAACTCGTATTTACCGCACGCACACAAGAAGACATGCGAGATAAAATGGTCGCCCCCGGCTGAGTGAAAGGTGGCTGTCTAATGACAGCAGTCGAGCAGACTCCGCCCGTCGTTAAGAACTTGTCACCTCCGAGGCTCAGTGAGTTCTGTGATTCCCGCTTTCAGTCCCACCAGTGCATAACCTGCTTGCTTACGCTATCTGAACGGTGCGATTTGTCGTGCTTCAATAGACCATTAAATGTAGACGTTTGGACCGGCTTTACTTGAGCAATGCTACCAATTGTTAATTACGCCAAGGGCGCATAACGTGTCTTCGACGATCGGCTGGCAGTTGATAATTGAGATGCGATTTGATTGTGTCGCATCGTGTCCGCAACGATAGGTGGTCATTGGTCGCTTGTCCAAAATCGAAGCAAGCTATTATAATTGGTTTCCACTGACTATACAGAATTATCGAATCCCACATCAACACTGCTCCAGTCCTAAAATAATAGAATAAGTCACATCCTGGAGCGGCAAAAACACCGAACCCCATATATTTCATCTGAGTCTGGTTACCACTGATCATGATCACAGGAGCAATAACACGTAAATGCACGCATAAGATGCAACAACGGTAGCTAATTGTCATACGAGTATAAAAGCCGCAGAGCGATATCCACGGGCTTTCCAAATTGCAACTGGCACATAGGGGCAAGGAGCCAGTTCCGCACCGACGACGACAATGTGCGCGGGGGCGACCCGACCTCCGCTTCATCGCTGGTCGTTAATACCCTCTGGCACTTTGATAACGACACCCTCGAACAGCTCCTTCGTGACATGGCAGGCGCAGCCGAGCCGCGAGGTTTCGGTGAGCCCGTAGGCAAGGTCCAGCATGTCCATCTCCTCCTCTGAGATGTCCGAGGACAGCTGTTCATACACTGCCTCAGGCAGGATCAGGTGGCACGTGGAGCAGGCCAGGGTGCCCTCACACGCGCCGAACCCGTCGATGTCCACGTTGTTGTCAAGCACCGCCTCCAGGAGGTTATCACCCTCCTTTACGGTCACCTTCTGCTGAGTGCCATCGGGGAACTCAAAGGTGATGTTAACCTTCTCTGTGCAGCTTGCTGGCGTTGCTTGCAGGTGACGCTGGAGCTGGCTGAGGCTTGGTAGCACAGGCCGAGCCAGTGGAGCCTGTAGAATGCTTTGACGGAGTCCACCAACGGCCTGTGTGCAGGTCCTTAGTACTTGAGGCAGTCGGAACATGATCAACAGAAGAACTGAACCTGAAATTACACAAAGTGTTGTTAGGTCAGACTGATAACTACAATCAATGCATAACAGGATTGTCAGTAATGTAATAGTTGGCTTTCAGCAGTTTTAGAAGTTTTATAAATATCATTTAAAGAACAATGTGAAAATGAACAATGTACAGCTGGCTCAAATGAATATTCCTTAATAATAAATATCCTAACCAACAAAATTTTGAACATGAACTTTTATCACAAATTATTTAGGTACCTACCTACAGCCAGCAGCAGTGACAGCCCAAAATGAGAAGCATCAACTACCTACCACTTACCCAGTGCAAGTGTATATTGTGATGGGATAGTATTGTACACTTACCTCAAATTGAAATACTTCAGGTCAGGAGTGAGAATTTTCTTCCGTATCACAAATGCTGCCAAGACAACTGCATGAAGCAGTCCAGTGGCAGAGGAACCACGGCGACAACCCACCTAGGGCACTGTAGATGAGCATGTGATCGTGATCAAGCATGCGATGAGTGACTTTTTGTATCGCGAGTCGAAAGCATCAGCCACTATTCGTCCTAGCTGCGCCAGAGCTGAAGCAGTCTATTTTCTGATGCTAATTTACTGCTAGTTTTATAAATTGAATATTTTTATTTGATCACTGAGCGTTGAAAGTTACTCAACAGCAAAATTCAAAACAACGTTGCTAGGCTTTGTACAAAAGTTTGGAAGTCAGCATTATGAATCCGTATATTACCGACTGACACGCCATTTTTTAGTGCTCTGAAAAAATTTGCATATGCTCTTGAGTCTTGAACCTTAATTTGTTGGTGTAGATCCATATTATACTTTGTATATCAAAAGAAAAAAATATTCTTACATCTTTTGAAATGCAAAACATAAATTTTAGCAGCTAAATTTCGATTAAAATTGAAAGTCTTTATATCTTGCTTTCAAAGAAATTGCAGTATTTTAATTCAGCACAGCTGTTGCACTTGGTGGCGAGGAATGGCGCATTTGAGCGATTGATATTCTTCTTCTTTTTGCTATTGTGGAACGGAGCCTCTCATTTTGGCCTTTGACATTACATAAGTCGTTCTTGATATTATTTATCTGAATTTCCAATAATGGCATCCGTTGCAACAAAAGCTGCAGGTAAAATTCCATTGTATTTTTTTGTGTAAGCTTACTTTTGTAGAGCTGCATGTATTTTGTGTCTGTCTCAGGTAGCTTACAGGCTAAATCAGACTGTTTTGCATAGGTAGGTAATTTTGATATTTTATATGTTCCCCACCAGATGGTATTGCGATTTCTTGTTGGTTTCGATTTGATATACACATTTTCTAGGTGTTGAAAGTTAGAATGAGGGGTCACTCACTTTCATATTCTTTTCAGCCCACAGTATTAATTAGATTATTTGCCAGTTTCTGCCGTATGATGGACGCTGGTGAAAACAGGACGCTGGAGGGCATATTTAGTCACGTGACTTGTGAGGAGCTCTCCCCCTCTCAATGCCTTCTACACAGTGATTGTCACATGGTTTGTGCGAGTGAATTTCAAGAGCCTTGATCAAATCTCCCCAGTTGCCGTTTTCACCGTCGTCCCGTGTGATGGCGCTAGCAGAGCTTTCTTCTGTTTTTGTGTGTTCATTTCATAAATAACTTATTTTGGTTTCACTCTCAATAACTTTTATGCAACACACCAGTTACCATTTACCTGGGCGGCGTTTCACGGCACTGTGCTGCAGCACGCTGTGCACAGCGGTCGCAGTGTATTGGGTTTCCATGGAAACATCAACAAACTCAGATGCTTGCAGAGCTGGAGCGCCAAGCCGAGTTTGTCTCAAATACGGCACCAATGCAGCAGCACAGCATGCTGCAGCATTGTGCCTTGAAACAGACCCTGCAATTGCATGCCTTGTAAGCTCAAAGTGCACAGACACAGTGCATCAAAGCATGTTATGTTATGCTCCATCTTTAATGTGAAACATGATTTTGATGTTAAGGATAAGAAACTTGTTTTTGTCACATTTGGTATTTAGCCTGTAATGAGACTAATCTAAAATTATTCCTCATTCTGGGCCTGGCAATAAACTCACAAATGGAATGTCCATACTGGCTTAGTCATGGCTGCTCTGAATGTGGGCTTCATGCAGACTAGCTTCTCCTATGTCTTAGTAGCAGACTAGCGGAGTAATTGGAATAAACTTTCTATCAAGGTGCTTTGAAATCTGCAATGTTTGATAAGTTTGCAGAAAAGCTAAATGAACAATATCACACTAAAGTTAGTTAAGTATGACTGGTTTAATCATTAGTGACTTTCTCATTAAAAGAAATCATAAGTTTTGTTTTTGTTTTTATGCGTCATGGCGTGCTTTGTTAGTCCTGGTATATGTGGGATGTGGAATCATTTATTTAATCATCCCAGCATAAACAAAACCATATTAATACATACTTTACAGTGCGTTCACTGGAGATTAACCGTGCGTTAATTCGAAGGTAGCCGTGCACCAATTTAAATTGGTGCACGCGCGTGCAGTGATGACTTTCTCGACTGAAGTTTCTCGGAAGGGTCATTGACTTTATTCTAAGATTTCCCATAAAGGGCCCTTTTTAGTGGCATGGACTACGTTTAATTTCATTTAAATTCGCACCGTTAAGCATGTATTAATTAGTTAACACATGGTTTCCGTGCATAAATGGTTTTAACGCACTCGTGGATGAAATGGAGCACTTGTGCGTTAATGCACTCGTTTCACTCGTGCATTAACACACTCGTGCTCCAATCCATCCACGTCGTGCGTTAAAACCATTTACACACGGGAAACCATGTGTTAATATATATTATCATTTGGTTGATGTCAGGCCAAAGTTGATAATGCTGATTCATCTAGGTAGCTCAAGAACTGACACATTTTGTTGAAGTTCATGAATTTCATGAATCAGATGCTGAATTTCATCAGGTGTCATCACATTAAGACTGCCTAGAAATGCTCTGTATGTGGGAGCTAAATTGCCAATGGTTTGTTAAATAACAAGCTGAGCAGGAAATGCAAAGGAGTAAGTTTTTGTGCAATGGATATGACCAAACTGCTGCTGTAATTCTTTGTCATTTATTTTACAGCAGAAGTTGATAATGACCATGGCTATGATAATTAGCTCATCCATGCATTTAGCCGCCGCTGAATCAGAAAAAAATATGTCGTTTATGTTCGATACATTTTTTCAACCATGTACTCTGTGCTCTTTACTCGATTTTAGGACTAAAGTACGTATCGCT